TCAAGCCGTTTCGCGATGGCATGCAGGCCGCGGTGGTCAGCGTGTTGTAGCAGGCCACCGCGGAACGGTGGAAAGCCTGTACCCCATATCATGCCAATATCCACGTCCTCTGGTGAGGCGGCGACGCCTTCTTGCAGAATATAGCACGCCTCATTAATCATCAACAACACACAGCGGTCAACAATATCGCTCCCCGACTTACTGCTGCGACTCTCAGGATAGTATTTCCTCACCGCTTGCGTATTCATCCCATTTTCCTTGCCCTTGGCATCGTAATTGTAAAAACCCTTACCATTCTTTTTACCAAGGTAGCCATCTTTCATCATTTGCTCTACATTAGAGCCGACTTCGAAGCGTTTGGACTTGATGCCTTCTGTTAGTACCGGCCCCACGTGGCATGCAATATCAAGTCCGACCTCGTCCAGCAAACGAAAAGGTCCCATTGGCATTCCAAAATCAAGAATGGATTTGTCAATCACAGCTGGATCCAACTTGTCATCTCGTGCAAGCCTGTCTGCCTCCGCCATGTAGACACCAAGAATACGGTTCACAACGAATCCGGGTGCATCGTTCACAATGATAGGTTTCTTCCCTGTTCGCAATACTAAGTTAAAGATAGCCGCAGCAGCCTCAGGGGATGTCTTCTTTCCCTTGATGACTTCCACCAACGGCATCTTTGACACTGGATTAAAGAAGTGCATACCCACAATATTCTGTGGATACTTTGACACTGTTTGCATTTCAGTCAGACTGAGCGACGATGTGTTGGTGGCGAAGATAGTCTTGTCATTCATAATTCCCTTCTCCTCCAGCTCTTGAATGATCTTCTTCTTGATATCCATTACTTCCACTGCGGCCTCCACAATTAGGTCTGTGCCATGAAATACACTTTCCGATGTGCCTCCCGAGACCAATTTCATTTTGCTCTCCATAACAGTGGGTGTCATTTTCTTTCGCTTCACTGCCGCCTCAAACTCTGCACGGACCATACCAATACCCTTCTCAACCGCTTCCTGTTTCACATCCCGCACCGCCACAGGAATGCCCTTGTTAGCGAAGTAGTGTACAATACCAGAACCCATGACACCTGCACCAACTACACCAACACGGTGTATAGTGGCCACTTTTTCCTTTGGAATACCGGTCTTACGCTCACTCTTCTTCATTCCTTCATCGAGAAAATACAATGCTATCTGATTCTTCGCCTCCGGTGACACCAGCAACTCACTGAAGGCCTCGCGTTCCTTGGCAAAACCCTCTTCATTTGAGTGGGCGGCAGAGTATATAATAGCCTCCAATGCCTTGTACTGAGCAATGTACTTGCCCTTAGTCTTTTTGTTCAACATTTGGATCGTTTTATTGACGACCATCTTGCGGCCAAATGATGTGCGCTCAAGGAAGCGGTCCATTAGGGTAAACTTCCTGCGTTGGGTCGGTCTCAGCGGCTTGTCAACGAGGCCACCTGCCCACCGACGCACCTGCTCGTAGAAGCGGTTTTCTCCTTCCCAGCGCGCTTCCGCAGGGATCACTGCGTTGACGGCNCCTGCCCTTTTCGCCTTAGGTGCCTTCACGGGTGCGCTTGTCATGATCCACTCTACCGCAGTGGTGAGACCAACGAGGCGCTGAAGCCGCACCGTCCCGCCCGCGCCAGGGAGTACACCAAGCATGCACTCTGGCAGCCCCACTGCCGCCGTCGAGGCCAGCAGCCGGTGGTGGCATGCCAGCGCGAGCTCGAAGCCACCCCCGAGCGCAAGGCCGTTGATGGCTGCCACGACAGGAAAAGGCTCGCGCTCGATGCGGTCAAACAGGTCATGGCCCATGCGTGTGGCCTCCGCAGCTGCCTTTATGTCGGTGACCGGGTACAGCTGCTCCAGATCAGCGCCGACGCAGAAAGTGGCCTTGGCACTCGTAATTATGACGACACGCGCCTTCTGCTCCGCCACGAGCTTCTCCACAATGTCCAGCGCCTTATGCATGCTCCGCACAAAGGACTCACCCAAGGCATTGGCGCTGGATCCGGCGCGGTCCATGACGACCCAGGCGCAGACGCCAGAGTCCACGTACACCGTCACGTGATCGCCCGCTGGGTGGACAGACCACGCACGGTTCTTTAGAATCGACTCCTTGAAGTCGTGCGCCGATACAGTTGCTTTTGCAGGCGCTGCCGTCATCTTTCCGGGGGTTGGCGGCGCCACAGTCGTTGTTGTCGTCGTCGTCGTCGTCGTTGCCGTTGCCACCCATCGCTGGGAACTCGGCTGTCGGTGCAAAAATGCCGCTGGAGCGGCTGCTGCTATCACCCCCAGCCATTTGCCTTGTATACAACGGCGCATCATTGCTGCTGGGCCGTATCTACAAATATATACGTGAACTATTTGCTGTTCTGTCTTCTTGTATCCCTTTTTCCCCACCTTTTTTCTTTTGCCGCTCTTCCCTGGCCGGTGCGAACCGTCAATCTGGCATGAAAAAAAAAGAGACACGCAATACATCTCATCCTCCTCTTCTCGCCCCCGCTGCTCCTCGCGTAATCAACCAGTTGAATGCGCCACCTTTAAATACACATCCGCAGACTTTTTTTTTGGCGGGGGGGAGTTCCAACAAAAAACGAGAGGGAGGCTACCCACACAAGCACACAGACATCTACCCCTCTCCTCTTCTGCTGAGCAATGACGTGGATGTAAGAAGCGGAAATAAAACAATACTAATTTGTATAAAGATAGAAAAAGAACTCCGCACAACAACATAAACTTACTGAGGCGATGCTGTCGACACAGTGTTATGCTCTCCGTCTCACATGTGTGTTGCGCTCTTTCTTTTTTCCCCCTCTCCCCTCTATCACTATGTCTTTCTCTCTTACTCACCATCCCCTCCCATTTACAGAGGTTATTAGCGTTTCATATGCATTCGCTTTTCCATCTCCGCATCCATCGCAGCGTTCCACTCCCCAATCGCCCCTTGGTGCAGCACATGCCGCAGCTTTGGGTGCTTATCCACCACACGGGTCACAGCGTACATTTCCACATCAGCAATATCAGGCTCCTTACCACCGTGGAAGTGTTGCTGCGAGTGTGCTGCCTGCACATGTGAAATAAAGACAGACAACTCTTTCTCCAACCACACCGCTGCATCCTTGGGTGGCGTCGCAGACGCACTAGTCTCATGCGCCATGAGATTTGGCTGGATCTTGTACCGTGAAAGCATGTGCAGTACGGAAGCTCCTACGACACGAAAGATGATGTTATGATACTGTGGCGGCGTCACATATGGATATGAAGCAAAAGCGTTGCTCCAAGTTTTGTTGATTGCAATAAAACTCACGGCCTGAAACCTGTCTTGAATCCACTGGCGTGTCTCCAAGACACGTGGATCTTGCAGCTGCGCAGCAAATCCCAACGGGACGGACAATGTAGAGATAATTTGCTGTGAGTCTACCACGTAAACTCCGTTCTCCTGTGGTGCATGAGTGGTGGTGATGTTGCCGTTACTAACGTTGCTTCTGCTAGCATCATCCACAGGTGCTAGCCGTATCTGCGGCACCAGCGTGTAGCGGGGATCGGGTATCCCTGCACCTGTGAGGGTGTCAACATCTACCGTATTGAATGGCACAGAATGGTAGCACAGCATCCACTCCACCTTGGCGCAGTATGGACATCCTAAAAGGCGATAAAGCGTCATGGTAAAGTCTCGCCCGTCAGACTGGCGGCTCCCTTCACGTTGGATGCCTCTTCCAGTCCACGGGAGGTGTGTAGTGCGGAGGGCCTCAGCAAGGAGATCTCTCTCCTGCAAGGCGTTGAATTGCTCAGCGGAGAGTTGCGGCGGTGATTTGCTTTTGGTGGCTTCCCCGCGTGTGGCGTACCACAGCGTCGCCCCTCCCACAACAGCAGCGCCACCCGCAGCGGCGATAAACACTCTGCGAGCACCCCAACGCATTTCCCTACACCAGTTGGCGCTCTTGCTGCAGTTGTGTCTAAACTTTATGTTCCCCTATGGTATCCCCTTTTTCCCAGGCCCACTGTATATGTCTATATGTAGCTGGATGTTGTTGTTGTTTTTTTGTTCTCTCGCTCTCTCTTGCTGTCGCCGCACAGTGACCGTCTTCTTAACCAGCACGACGTACAACTAAAAACGTGAAAAGCATGGCGTTTCACACCGTCCAGCCAGACCAGGGCGTCCAAGAGCGTGGGACAGAGACACAAGCGAACCCCACTGCCAGAAGGCAACACACACACACACACACTCTTTCTCTCTCATGGGACAGCAACAATAAAACTCATATCGCAAAAAAAAAGACACCTTCGGCCGCAGCCGTGCAAACACCGTCATTCCTTCCCCTTCCACACACACGCACACACATGCATTTTATTGCCCTTTTCCTCACCACCGCTGTGCCCCTGCAAGGGACACGACACAAGAAGACGGCGGAAAAATACAAAACCATGGGTGGGCATGTGTATGTGGGAAACACTGCGTGCAGCTGAGGGGCATAGCAAATGGACAAGGTAGCCACAGCGCAGCCTCTAAACACACACACACACACACACACAATCGGCCCCGCCAAGCGTCCTTCTACATTTTCCCCCGTATTTTCGACCCTCTTTCTTTCCTTCCCTTCCTGCCACGCTCCTCATCCCCAAAACACACACACACACACAAACACACAACGACACGCACAGAAAAAGAAAGAGAGAACGCCACATACGTACAAGGGATGCAGCAAGGAAAAAACCAAAACAAAAAGGAAATAAGAAAAAGAATGTACCTCCACCCAGCCTTTCGCATGTATACGCCCCCTCCAGCCTTCACCCCCCACCCTTCCTTCCATACGCACACACAGCAAATTCACAACCACCTTCCCCCCACGCCAACGATCAGCACCCTCGTGCAATCACTAAAAAAGACGATGATCGGGTGTCACGTTTGCGATGTCTGGTACAGGGTTAGTTGGGTTCATTTGATGCACCGTAAGCGCCGTCCATGCCCCGAAGGGAGAAATGTTCGGGCTGTTTTTGGCGTAGCTCACTTGAATCATGCGGTTCGCCAGCATCTTGTAGCGGTTATGCAGGGTAAAGATGGCGGTATCCGCTTCCTCAACGTTAGAGTATGTGACGAAGGCGGCACCCTTGCTCCGGTTATTGAGGTCGCGCAATATGTGTATGTGCTCAACTGTGCCATAGGCACTGAACAAATCGTACAGACGCTTTTCGTCACTTTCAAACGGCAACTGGCCTACAAACAACTTCGCCGCTGTAGGGCTTATCTGTGGAGCACTATTCGGGTCCGGCGAAACCCCAAAGAGTTGTTGTTGTTGCTGCGGCTGCTGCTGCTGTGGGGGCGGCGGAAGCGGCTGCTGCGGCTGTGGTTGTGGCGGAGGAGGGGGAGGAGGAACATAGATGGTCGCTTTGGATAGCGGTGCCGCGTTGGAGTTCCTTGGCGCCCACGGCTTGGCGTCAGGACGAAGGCTTGCGGACATCATTTACGAAGGAGTTAGTGTGTACTTACAAGTTTACTTCTAGCAGATGCCGACGCGCTACACACAGGCAAGGAGAGTGGATGGCACGGGCAGGGGAAGTTAGAAAGGGGAAAAAAGGCAAGGGAGAGAAAAAGTGAGACACTGTGCGAGAAGCAGTCACAAAAGACATTTCAGCACAAACACTTTAAGAGCAGAAATAAAAACATGAACGGCATCGAAGGTGAAGCTACAGCTTGGGTGACGGTAACTGGCGGTCACACTGCGGTGGTTTGGTGTAGAACGCCTTAGTGTGGTCTGCCCTGGAGCACAGCATCGCCCTCCCATTCTGCATCTGCCACACCTCGGCACTCAGAAAGCAGAGTCGCCGCCCCATACGCAGAAGGCGACTCATCAGAGTGAACGGACGCTGCGAACGAAGCGGCTGCACAAACTCAATGTTTAAAGATACCGAAACATGTTGAAACCGACCTGTAACTACAGTCAGATGCGCAGATGTCAGTGTATCAATGAGAAAACACAGAGCGCTTTCATCGACGGCTATCTCTGTCCCCTCCATCCCACTGCTGATGTTGCTGAATATTGGCTGCGCTGCAATTCCCTTATGTGCACACATGGGCCACGACATGACGGAGCCTTCCACTTCAAAGGAAACTTCATCGCTACCACCCTCACCATTACCATTACCACCAGTCATGGTACCAGTACTAGTGGTATGAGTAGCAGTAGCAGTAGCAGTAGTAGTTGAGACATCAGGCATCACGCGCACTCCATCGGCATCCAAATGGGCGTGGCGGCACACCACTTCTTGGGTAGAGAGTGGAGCATCTGCAAGAAATTTTTTGAGACGTTGCGCCACCTCGCCCGTTGTTGCAGTGGCAGGCATGTGATCTTGTGAAACGCTTTGTTCTCTCTCTATCATCAGACAGTCACGCTTCACTCAAGGGCAAACAAGGCGTGGCAAAATGTTCCTGCCTCAAGCTCTAGAAAAAGCAACATGCCGCGTCAACCATCGCACCAAAAATCACGACCAAGCGTGCCAGTCCGAAAACGGCTGCAGCGTACCCACACAGCAACGAAACAAAAAAAAACAGTAGCAATGGATGCACATGAATGTGGTGCGGGAAATAAAGGTATGTGAAAATTATTTTTCACCACTACTATGATCGATGGCAAGTGCACCACCACGCACACTGTTTAAGCGACTCGGCGAAGACCTCCACGGCCGGACAACCGCGGAGGAGATTTCACCTGGGGAATGTGAACTGCAGCGCTCCGCAAAATTCACGCGGGGGTTACGTCTGCAGGTGCCGCAGCGTAGAGTCCAATAGATCTCCACAGTTGCGGGTTACCTTCTCCATGGCGCACCCCCAACACACACAGCACCAGACGCGCGTCACATCGGAGTTTATGTACGCAAAGACAGTCTTGGGTATTTCATTTCTTTGTTTTCACCTTTTCTTTTTTTTTGCCTTTATGGAAGGCGGTGATGGCAATGGTGTTGCTATGGATCATTGGCCCAGCTCCTTGTGGGTGGGTGTGTGTGTGTGTGTGTGTGTACAGGAGAGCAACAAAGCTCTCGCAAGCCGCTCTTCTGTAGAGACAGTCAGCACGCGCTCACATATACAGAGAGACAAGCACACGTACAAGCGTCTTCTCTTTCTCTTTCCTCACTGATAGAGGCAATAAAAAAATTTCAGTTGTGTGTGTATTTATGTATGGGTGTGGCTTCACACCTGCGGCCCATGTTGGATGCCCAATCGTCTTGCAAATCCCACCACGAGCCGCACCGTCCCTTCCACATCGTCGTAGAACAAATTGTGTCCGGCATTAGGCAGCACGTGCTCCTCCACAACCGTCGCGCAGTTGGGCCATAGCCCGCGGTATTTATTGCTGCCACCCACTGGAGACGCCCCTCCCAAGATGGACAGGACAGGAACCTCGATACGGCATCGCGCACACAGTTGAGGGAAGGCGTCAGGTAGGAAAACAGAACGCTGGCGCAAGCTTTCCTCTAGTACGGGGATGTTGCACCGCCACGATACACGAGGATTCGCACGACTACCCGTACGAACTATATTGAGATTTGTCGTAAAGAAACCACGCACACGCTTGTCTTCGATGCCGCACCGCACAAACTCCACTTCTGCCGAGCGCATATCCTTTATAGCTGACAAGTTCACGCTCTTCATGAGGTGTATGTATTCGTGCAGCTCCGCTTCGAGGGAAGGAGGAAGCAACCTCTTCGTAAGAGGAGGCATATCCAAGCTCACCAAACCAGCAATGGCAACTTGTGCACGCCTCTCTGCATCATGCTGCCGCTTCGGTTGTTGTTGTTGTTGGTCCATCAGATATTTCGTCCACGTCAAGGCGCCCATGCTATGCCCGACGGCCACCACTGTTGGTGGTGCGGCACTGTGCGCGGAATCATAACTTTCGTGCTTCAGCCACGCCTGAAGATCAAGCACCAGTTCATCGAGTCTGTGCGTCAGTGTGTGAGGGGAGCGTCCGTGGTTGCGGCAGTCAATCGTAAATGCCTCCACGCGCTGACCCGGTAATTCAGCAGCGCATTGTTTTTGGAGTTGCTGCGCCAGTGATAAGAAGGAGTTGCCATGGCTGAGAAAGCCGTGGAGCAGGATAAAGTGGATGGGCGGCAGTTGCTGCAGAGAAGCCGGCGCAGAGACCTTGGAACTGTGCAGCCGCACAGGCGATGCCATGAGAAATGTGCTCGTTCCAGACCGCGTAAGTTTCTTCAGTTTCGCCCGCACAACAAGAAGAAAAATGAGGGAAAAAACATTCATAGATGAGCATATCATTGATAGAAAGAAAAGCGTGAAGAATCACCACTCATCTTGGCGTGTTCTCATGAGCGGCAGCATAGATATGAATTCGTTGTGTGTGAGCATAACGTCAGCCTGAACAAGCATCCCTTCCATTCTCCCCACCCCCACTCACGCACGTGTGTGAGAGTGAAGGTGGAGTATGTCGATGCGTAGCGTTCCTAAATTCTGTCTATTGTTTCACCCCCAGGAATACACACGCTCAGACTCACGTATACATACATAAATATATAAGGTTATAAAGACGCATATATATTCTGTTATGCACATACACATAAAAAGACAAGACAAAGTATAAACACCTATGCAGTTTCGCGTGAATGTATGCGTGCAGAAGTGGCGGGGTGGTCAAAATAAAAAGCGTAAAAACCAAGCATAAAACACAGTATAACTATCAGACGAGGATATAAAGATACAGGAAGGGTGGGCGATATAAGTTGGATAAACCAAAAAAAAAGACTCGGCGAGCCCCGGGTGGTGTTTTTTTTTCTTTTCCTTACAAACAAAAACAGGGAAAAGGGATAATTTGCACAAATCAAAGGGTAAACTGCCCTATCCCGCAGGCATTGGTGTGCAGGATGTTGTCCAGGGTGTGTGGAGAAGCAATCTTGGGCCTTTTTGTCTGAAGTTTACAGCACCCACTCTTCTCCTAACCTTCCTGAAGTGGTCTGTCGTGTTGATGAGAGCGGTGTGCTGTCGCACCATGCCCTTCCTCTGCGACTCGTGCACCAGCCGGATCATTGTTCCCCTTCGCTTCTATATGGACTTCTGCCTCTGCAACGCGCCTTTGATCGTCACTGTGAGTGAGGTGCTGCTGAACTAAATCCAAGTCTGGAGCAGAGCTTAGCCAAGAGAGGGAACTTAATGTGCAAGAGTCTCGCGAACGTCCAACGATTAGATCTTCTTCAGCCCCGCCACTAGGAGGGTTCAATACGGTGATTATTGGCGTAGCAGCACTTTCCAGTTGGCGATCGGCTCGCTCATGCAACGGCGTCAAATCAGCAGGCCTTATAAAGGGTGGCACGCAAGACCACCGGAACGACCAGAAGAGAAACCGTTCATCCAAGGCATCTCCATCCGCATTACTACTGAAAAACAATCTGGGTTGGTGACCAATTGCACTACTGGCGGTGCTGCCTGTTACCCCGGGGTGAACGATGTGCGGTGATATAGGCACTTGCGACCTTGATGTGTCATCTAGAGACTCCACAGCAGCTCCGTGGTCTCTTTCGTACAGATGCCGATCATCAGGGCCCAGCCGTGTCTCACAAAGCATATTGGGAGCATTCAGGTGTCCATTTCTTACCGCGCTATTTCCAGCACTTGTGGCAGATTCACCATGGTTCGTGTTTGCCCCACCAGCTCTGTATGAGGCATCGCGGCTGGAGCCAAGGTGGTTCTGTATGTTCGAAGCCCCTGAGAAAAAGAAGCCAGATGCATGCGGCGTGCTATGCATTGTGTCACTCTGTAGGTCCAGTATGCTCCCTCGCCGCAGCGGTGGGGAGTGAAAAGAACCAGTTTCCGCCATTGTATAATCATACTCGAAAAGCGCACTGGGAGACAAGAAAAATGAATTCCCTGTATCGCCCGCCCAGCCGGACGACTTCATGGGCTGGCACGGAAATAACGTTGTTGTCAGCCGTGATGTGTCACCTTTCTCCTGCTCTGAAAACAGTGGAGGAGATGGTGTTGAGTCACACTGTGCAGGGTGTTTCACACGATCCTGTGAACCCCGTGTCGCAGTAGTTTCCAAGACGGTGTCACTTGGCACGTGTGTCTTTGCAGTAGCCATTGGTGATGGAGGCTTCACACATGTCTGGAACGGGCTAAATCCTCCGCCGCCAGTCCGCATTTGTACTGAGTAAACAGGATTCGAATCCGCAGGGAACATAAAAAAAGATGGGGAGCGGTTTTCCCCTTCATTAGAGCCACTTAAGCGACGTTGTCCTACAAGCTCATCTGTCAGCTCAGCGTTTTCCAAAGAGACTGATTTCCCTTGGGTTTGAAACTCCCTCGCTCTGACGGGGGGAGGGTGGATATCCTTTGGGCCAGGAGAGAATTTTGTGGTGTTGAGTCGAAGGGCATCCACATCGGTGGGTAAAAGCTGCATCTCCCTTAAGTCCCGACCTTTAACAGATCCAAACGCAGCCAAAGATTTACCAGACTCCTTCTGTCCGGTAGCATTGGACGCTCCGACATCATGCACTTTCGATACAGTGACACCCACTTGCTCAGAAGTCCCACTCATTACAACTGAAAACGCACAAAAGTCTATATCCAAAAACGAAACTAAATTATAAAGTCCCCTTGGTGCCCCTTCTGCTGATGAAGAAACAGGACCTAAAGCTAGGCCAATCAACCCACGTCAACGAGAAGAAAAAACGAGCATAGGGATTAAGCAATGTCCTCTTCCAGTTGATCATTCATGGACTCGTCCATGAAGATGCGCTTCGCATAAAGGACGCAAGGAAGACAGATAAGAACAGTTTTTTATTCCACACGGTACGGAAGAGTATCAAGATCACACTGATCAACAGCGTCACGGGTGCCATCGGCATTGCATTTTGCCGCGTCTCTTGAGTAGCGTGTCAAAGCCTCAAGTGGCAATGAGAAAGAACTTCCACAGAAGAGCATCCTCGCTTCCAAAAGATCCTCTTCTTCACGCCGATCCCAGGCACTCCCCTTCCCCAGACTCTGTGGTTCGAAATCTCGGGATGAACGTAAGAACAGTAACACGACAGATATCCCATTCCAGCCGCGCCTTCGCACGACCTCGGCCGTAACAAAGGCCTCGAGAGGAACTCGAACAATGCCAAATCCCAGTTCGTAGGCAGCCATTTGCAACTTTCTGTCCCCATCCGGGATACGCATGAAGTGTGCCAAGACAACAAAACGCGGAACCGAGAAAGCGTGATCGTCCTCTTTATCTTCCCCACTGTCATATGGATTCAGAAGTGATTTGCAAGTCCCCAGGAGTGCCCTGATATCAACGCGGTAGTACAGCAAATCAGAGCCCAATACCATACGCACAGCACCATTCATCATGCGACCTCGATGACCCGAAAGACGCCTTAGCAAGGAGGCAAGCCGAGTAGTGCCTTGTTCACACCATTCCAAGGGATACGACAATAACAATCGGCCATCGGTGCCCTCGGGAATCTCAGCTGGATCAGTACCATCACTCTTCAGAAGCGACAAACCAAGTTTCTTTGCACTCGCATTGATCAAGTTTAGGCAGTCCACAGAGGCGTCCGTGAAGGCAACTGATAGTTGTGGGAAAAGGGTAGCAGTTGTAAATCCAACCAAACCGCATCCGCATCCCAACTCAAGAGCCCAATACTTCGGTTTTTCAAAACTGCAATCCTCTGATAAGCTTGATACCAAAGAGGCTCCAAACTTTGAAAGAAATGCAGCAAGCACCTGTGCACCTTCGTACACACGAAGGCCTGTAGAACAGACTGAATTGCTCGTGTTCAGCTGCTTTTCTCCCAGTTTAGTGCACCGAGTATAGTGGTCGATTGCGGTAGCACAAGCGAGATCAAACTTGAGTGATGATGCACCGTTTTCTTCTGTAACCACCTCAAAGGTCTCATAGTGCATGAAGTATACAAGTCAATAAGCCTAACTAATGTAAAAAAAGATAGAGAAAAAAAGCAAAGATTATAAAAAGAGGCAGCCTTGGGCACTTCGTGGGGATTCGACAGATCAAAGTCAACGAATACGGAAGTGGACGTACCCTGGCAATACACGCAGATCTTATCCAACGTCCCGTTTGTATGTTCATTTTGGTCGACCATGAACAACTCATTCGAGTTTCCATTTTCCCCTCCTCACCTGAATGGCAGCATAGAGGTATAGAAAACCCAACCCTATCGCAATAACCAGAAAGCACAACAACAGCAATCCAAACACCTGGAATAATACAGCACGATTCTCCTCTCTGATTGAGGAGACTCTGGGCTGTTTCCGCGTGCCGATGACGGGATCCTCCAGGGCAACGGTAGGCAACGCATACTGGAGGGCCACACCGCAGAAAGCCACTAAATCAAACACGGTTGGCATTTCCTAAACGAACTCTGTAAAAAAAGCAAACAGAAGCCAACAAAAGATCACCTGCTTCTCTCAAACTAAAAAAAAAACGAGAGAAGGGTGAATCCACGGCACACTTGCAGGTGGTCCTCCATAGCAACCTTACGGACAGATAAGACCCATACCCAGTAGACCCAGCAGCATGCGTCGAATAAAAAGAAGAAAAACAATCAACACTCTGACA